CTTTTGTTCTTTATCTCACTAGTTTAACTTTTCCAGACCTGCAATTTCAATTAAAATTCAGGATTTGGACTTCACTCCCCACTTTTCTTAGCATGCATTATAGAAGAGGCCTCTGAAAGCTCTGCCATATGTTTTGCATGTAAACCGTCTCTCTCCTGTATATGTGTGACTTCAACTGGAACCCCTGTGCTCAAATGATGCACCTTTACACCTGTGTGCGTTCTCATGTGGGCTGTCAAGTGACTGGCAGTTCTGAAGTGTCTCCCACATGTTTTGCAAGGATACGGCTTCTCCCCTGAATGAGTCCTCATGTGGATTAACAAAACACTATTACGTCCGAAAGCTCTCCCACATACGTTACAAGTATGTGGCTTCTCACCTGTGTGAGTCCTCATGTGGACTAACAAGTCACCACTACGTCCGAAAGCTTTCCCACATACATTACAAGTATGTGGCTTCTCACCTGTGTGAGTCCTCATGTGGACTAAAAAGTGACCATTATAGCTGAAAGCTCTCCCACATACGTTACAAGTGTACGGCTTCTCACCTGTGTGAGTCCTCATGTGGACTAACAAGACACCATCACGTCTGAAAGCTTTCCCACATACTTTACAAGTATATGGCTTCTCATCTGTGTGAGTCCTCATGTGGACTAACAAGACACTATTATGTCCGAAAGCTTTCCCACATACGTTACAAGTATACGGCTTCTCACCTGTGTGAGTCCTCATGTGGACTAACAAGACATATTTACGTCCAAAAGCTTTCCCACATACATTACAAGTATGTGGCTTCTCACCTGTGTGGGTTTTCAGGTGTCTCTGAAATTTTGACTTGCACTCAAAAACTTCCCCACATACGTCACATTCTAAAGGCTTTTTACCTGTATTTAAGTTGATCACAGCAGAGGTGTGTGGACTGTTACTGTTAATTTCACTTTCATGATGTCTTTCCTCTGCTTGAAGCTCTGTGTTTCTAGTTGATCCTGAGTCTCCATGCTGGTATTCTTCCTCATCTTGGCTCTCAGCTACATGAGAGTTGTGAGAGAGCAGCTGGTGGTCACTGGTTGCTTGTGATATCACAGAGCTTATAACTGGTATGATGACGACAGACTCTTTGTCTGCTGCACTTTGAGTGTCGTCATGAATGAAGTCCAGAGTCTGATCTTCACTGTGCTCACTTTCCTCATCAGCAGGAGTCAACATAAAGCCATCAGTCTCCTGCTTCAGTACAAGCTGCTCTCCTGCCTGACTGCTGCACACTTCCTCCTCTTCCTCTTCCTCTTTAATCTGTGAAGGCTCTGGGTGCTCTTGGTCCACATTGGACTTCCTCTCCTCAATACAGAGCTGCTGCTCAGGGACAACCTCCTCCTCCGTACACACATGTTGCTGTGGGAGCTCTGGAGGGACACACAACAACACCAACAGCATACTAATGTGATGCTACAGCAAATATACAGACATGGCAGTAAATTAGTTAAATCGGGTTTCACCCACCTGTCCTGTGTAACTTTATTTCAGGCTTCAAAACGATATCCAACAGTCTGCGCTGACGATCGATCTCTTCCTCGTACTCGACGATGGTTCTTACAAAAACTCCCAATATTTCTTCAGCAGCAGCAGTTAGTCGCTCTTTGACAAACTCTCTCAAAGACTCAACTGAAGACATTGTTGTCTAATGTAGGCTACAGTAAATGTGGCTCGAGGTTTAACTCATAGAGTAACGCCTTTGTTGTGTTTACTTCCGCCGGATGTTACACTATTAAGTTCCGACGGTGAAATACATGAGGTTATCACGAGTTCCGCTTCCAATGGTTGGCAACTATAATTTCTAATATCAGTGTCCGGGCTGTAACAAGTAGTCTCAGTATCATTGGTGGCTCATAAAAAGACAGCAATAACTACACGGATGTCTTTTTTTTTTGTTGGTGTTTAAAGGTCGTAGTAATAGTAGTAATCCAATATCTTGGTTGAACAACGAACCTCATTTCCGGTTTTACCATTTTTTCGTCAAAACAAAAGCATGAATTTCCTCAGTCCATATAAAACAACATGAATAAAAACATTTATAAGCCTATATAGTGTCATTGTGACCAAATTGATCGAAATCTACGCAATTTCAGCTATGTTTATTGACGGAAATCTATTACCACAGTCAATACATGCGTTTATTTTTTTAGTTACAAACCGGAAATAGCGCTTGTAGTTTTTGTTACTTTATAGCACTACTGTAACGTGCAGCAGTTCCTGTGAAACGTGTTTTTAGCCTCTACAGGGTCAGAATAACATGCATGTGGAAGCCGCAGGACAAATAACATCTGGTATGTAATCATATTTTTCTTGTAACTATTGTCAAGCGTGGACCCATCCTGTACATACTCTCAATTTATAATGTTATAGCTGTAACTTATTCTTTAAATATATTAGCTAGCTAAGAGTGTAGTGTTTCCTGTGTAACTTACTCTTAACTCACACTTTAGTTTAAATGAGTTTAGTTCACTGTTTCAGGGTGGAATGTGCCATACTGGAATCAGTTCACTTAGCCTACACCTGCAAACAAAATGCTTAAACTTACTGTATTTTATTTACTAGACAGTTTCAGCACTAATAAAGCAAACACCTTATGATACAGTCACTACTAGATATGCTTTTAATGCACATGTCCTCCTAATAATGGGATAAAGTACCATAGAATTTAAGCCACAACTTATCCTATTAATCACTGTGTTGCTTTACAGCTTAAGTAATCTAAATAACCAAATCACCAGCATGTTATTCTACATATTCTGATAAATAAATACATAAAATAAAACTAGGTTTTACCTGGTGAAGGATGAAGTTGCTCCAGAATATCAGTCAGTCAAGTAGTTGCTGATTGGACTGAGTAATTTTTGATATTTTTCAATACTTATGCCAATATAATAGGCTACCTATACTAAAACATAACTTGTTTCAGTGCCGCACATTGAGGAATATATTTCTATATTATTTTTTACACAAACCCTGCTCTGTTTTTTGTTTCAGACGTCTATGATGGAATTTACCTGCAGAATTACTTTGAAGCTTCTTTTCTTCATCTCCTTCTCAGTGTTTATTGTTTTATAGTGTTAAGGTTTTATGTTTTCTTAATACAAAGCAGCTGCTGTCTAAAATACAGTTTAAGATTATAATTTTAATAAGGAAATACCTGATCAAAGAATAAGTTAACAGCACTTACAGCATAATTGGCAGTTTTGATATTTGAAGCTACAGACACATTTTAGTCAATTTCTAAAAAGTATTGAGCTTTAATTCAAAGACTAGTCGGCCAAACACAGGACTTCCTGTTCTACCTTCATTTAATTAAATCTTAGACGTACACAAAGTCCTGCTTAAATGATAGAGCTTCTGGATGATGTGGAAAATGATTTAAAATAAACTAAAGAGTTGGTTTGACTACAATAAACTAACACTGAACTTTCTTTCTCTAATAAAATGTCTTGGAGGAATAATTGATAATAAACTATGTTGGAAACCACACATTAATTATATTAAAAACAAAATATCAAAATCAGTTGCAATCCTTTACAAAGTTAAAGATCTTGTGTGTCAAAAGTCATTATACCTTCTGTACTGCTCATTTATACTTCCATACATAACTTACTGTGTGGAGGTGTGGGGGAACACGTACAGTGCCAACACCAAACCAATATTTACACTACAAAAATTCCTGTTCTACCTTCATTAAATTAAATCTTAGACGTACATAAAGTCCTGCTTAAATGATAGAGTTTGACATTTGACAGTTAGGAGACAAAGTCATTTCAAATGTCTTTTTAAAAAAATCTCCCAGCTTAAACATGGAGCCTTCTGCAGCAGCAGGATGCAACGGAAAGAAAAGAAAGAACACCGCCCCCACAGCACATGAGGAAGCCAAGAGATTAAAAATTGGTCAGGAAAGTGAGGAGACGCCGGAGTATGGACATTCCTCCCGCTCACCGCAGATCGCTGTGCTGCTCGACCGCCTTCAACAACCAATTACACCGAATGAGCTGACAGAGCTGCTGCATTATGCCGCTCTGGGGAAAACAGGTGGCATTAAACAGCCCAGGTAATGACTGTGGAAGTAAGGTGTAATCTACTTCATCAGTTGTATCCAAATAACTCTCTGTAATGCACTTTTACTGTGTCCCTGTGCTCCGGCAATAATCTAAATGATCCTTTTAAAGTCTACACCACTTAAACTCTCAAAGTCTTCTCATCTTCTTCCCCACTGTGTCTCCTGTAGTTGGTGTCGCCTCCACCATCAGAAGAAGATTAAAGCTGTGAATGTGGTGATCGTGGAGGGCCTGACCCAGAGTCACTTTTACAAGCACTACCTCAGCTTGCGACACCTCAGGACCAACTACACCACTGTAAGAACAAGAAGAGATCTATACATATATGGATGGTGTCAGTGTTTTGGGTTAACACTGATCCTTGTTGTTTATCTGCCTGGATTAGAGGGTGACTTTTACTCCATCACCTACCGACCTGGTGTCAGGAATCTTCAGCAGTGAAGTTCCTAAATCGGATGGTACATCTTTTTCTCAAAGACAGAGTGAGAGCAGTAAACTGGACAAAGGTGAGAGTCATGTGTGGATGTGTTTTGAGTGTCGACTTTGGTTGTCAAAACATGATGATGTAGCCCACACAACTTTACCGTTTCCCAGTTTTTTTAAAGGCTGCTAAAGAGTTAAATGTTTCAATATTTCCTGGACTTTTTAATTTGTTCTGTGTGACGTAATGAACAATGATTGTTTCATATCCTCACTTTAATCAACTGTTAGTCAAAATAATCTTATTGTGTGTAGTTAATGATCCTCTGAATGCTCTAATTTTCATCCCTAGAATATTGTCACGTTATAATATTGTGGCATGAAGTCAAAACATTACACCACTCAGCAGTAGTTTTGTTTTCCCCCAGAGTTTCTGCTCTTACTGATTATTGGGTGTGTGTGTTATTGTGCACTGCTGCAGCACTGTGGTGTCACCCAGTAATCACCAAGTTTGGGACACAGAAGAGAGGACTGACTGCATATGTTCTCACTGAGGAGGAGATGATCAAGAGACACTACCCACTCAAAGGTGACTCTTTTTTTTATTACATCTGCAGTAAGCAGGATAAATGAAGTATTTCCTTGCTGGATGCTTTCATGTTGTTGTTGTTGTTGTTTTTTTTTCTTACTGCCGACTGTATCTTAGAAATCATGAAGCTGTGTTTTCCCTGTCCTCACTAAAATGTGCACCTAGATTTTCCTACCATAGATACATTTTTTTAATCAAAAGCTCAATTTTTGGGGGTCAAAACGTGCTGGGTTAGTGTGGATGTGGTCTCACTCTTTCTTGGTTGCTTTCTGTGTCTCCATCTCTGTGATCTCACTTCTTTTTTGTTTTTGTTTGCACAGGAATGCCAGGCTTTGAGGAGTTTGTGTGCACAGACAGTGTTGACAGCGTGACTGACAGCAGCCCTCTGTATGGGCTTGACTGTGAAATGGTGAGATGCTCCCGGTTATATTCTTCATTCCCATTTCATTGCAGAATCCAGTTATGTATGTTCAAACGATCAACACAGCAGTATGTGCTGTGACAAATCCATGTTTCATACATAATGCAGTGTTGCACAAGTGCAGTGTTCTTGATACGCCAGTTTTACAGTTCCATTTTAAGTGATATGTTACGAGTACACCGGCTATACCATTGCATCAAGTTTAAAAAACAAAAAGTTTCCCTTTGGAGAAGTCTGCGTAAACGATCCCCACCTCTAATGGGCACCTGTATTGATTCTCAACCTTCTATCCTCATTAAAGAATCATTACTCTTGTGTACCTCTTTAAAGTGTTTGGCCATGGAGTGGTCTTCCTAATCGCATATTTATGTTCTGACAGTCTATCTTTTTGTGCATCCTACATAAAAACAGTTGCATGGGCATGTTAGACCAAACCATGTCTAAACTGTCAAACAACCTGTTTTTTATGTCCTCTCCTTTAGCGCAGACTCCATTTATTCATTATTTCTCAGCCTCTTATAATGGTGATATTATTTCTTTTGTGGTTTTTGTGAGAAAGATGTTTAAAAGAAGTTTGTGTCTTGAGTTATTTGAAGGTTTCTATCCCTGTTCCAGCTGTTAACCAGTGTGTCCATGTTGTGTTTCAGTGTCTAACAGAAAAGGGAAATGAGTTGGCTCGTGTCTCTCTGGTGGACAGTGATGGAAACTGTGTGCTGGATGAGCTGGTGAAACCTCAAAACCGAATCCTCAACTACCTCACCAGGTACACACACATACGCACACACACTCACAGACATACACTTATGTATTAAAGCAAGCACATTTTCAAGTAGTGTTTCTATTTTACACCTGTTAAACACCAACGCAGCATTGTAGCAACCACAAAACTCACAGACCAAGTCATTAATTTTTTATTTTTTGTAACCGCTTATCCTGTTGGGGGTTGCTGGGGGTTGGAGCCTATCCCACCTGACATTGGGCGAGAGGCAGGGTACACCCTGGACAGGTCACCAGACTATCACAGGGCTGACACATAGAGACAGACAACTGTTCACACTCACATTCACACCTACGGACAATTTAGAGTCACCAGTTAACCTGCATGTCTTTGGACTGTGGGAGGAAGCTGGAGTACCCCGAGAAAACCCACGCTGACACAGGGAGAACATGTATCAGTACTCATGGGAAGCTTCTCGTCCAATCACATCACTTGATCAGATTAAAATGTTATAACACATTTTTGTTCCCCATGCTGCTGGGTCCCTTCTGACAGGTTCTCTGGTATTACCGCAGCGATGTTGCGACCAGTCAGAACCACCCTGCGAGATGTCCAAGTAAAGCTCAGGACGTTGTTGCCGAGCGATGCAGTTTTGGTGGGGCATTCACTCAACAACGACCTCATGGCTCTGAAAGTGAGTTGCTACTGACAGTTTGATTTCTGCTTGTAACAGTGTTATCATCAGGACAAGGTTGAGTCCTGAGTTAAAGATGTTACAGATTACTGAACAGATTTTTGTTGCAGAACTTTTCCTCTTTCCTCTCCCATTAATCATCTCATGATCCGGTGAAATGTATCTTGCCCTTCTTTGGAGAGGCTGGGCCCTTAGGCTGAAAACCATGGGACTGAAATACAATATTGTAATAAAGTGGTGTATAAAAGTAAATCTCTGGTGTATCAATTTAAAAAAGCTTTGTACAGTAAGTTAGGAACTTTATTGTCCAGTATAAGGGAATGTTTTTGTACCTTTATCACACTCAAAAAATGAATAAACAGACATTGGGAGCACCAGGAACAAGATATCTGTAACATGTCAGTAACTCATATCAGTTGTTTAATAAAAAGGCAGAGAATTGCATTGTCAAAAATGTCAGTATTTCTGGATTTTAAAATAGTGATTTTATTCCCTTCATGTCAGCAATCATTTTAAAGTAGTCACAAAAGTTTGAAGTTTCGCCCTATATTGTGTTTGTGTCCCTGCAGCTGATCCACCAGCATGTAATCGACACCTCGCTGCTGTACAGGAGAGAGTTTGGGCAGAGGTTTAAGCTGAAGGTCCTGGCTGAGACAGTGCTGAAGTAAGCTGAGTCTGTCTGTGTCTCCCTGTCTCTCTCACCCAGCACGGCTTATAATTAAATTTTCCACTTGTGTCCCAGGAGGCAAATACAAACTGAAGAGAACAGGGGTCATAATCCCATTGAGGATGCCGTGGCAGCCCTGGAACTGGCTGAGTACTTTATTAAAACAGGACCACGTCAGGTGACACATCGCTTCCTAACACACACACACTTACGCACACACATACAATTTATATAACTTGTTCTGTGTGTGCCTGCCGTCAGGTTGTAGAACTTCATCTGGAAGAGCTGTGGGGATATACGATCGTGGAGGAGTCCACTGACTGTGCACCTGCACCCACACCAAGTCTCAGGTGCACTACATTACATAATCTGTACACCTCTTTCCACTCTTTACATTTGACTGTAGTTATTCAAACCGTGTCCAGACTTAGTCAGATGAACTGTATCTTTACTCTGGGTTTTTGCCTCCATGATGGGTCAGCAGTTTCCACGCCTCAGGATGGAGCTTTTAAAAATGCTCCCCATGGTGGATCAATACGAAATACAGCCTTTTGCATTGGTGAAATATAGCTTTTGAAAATGTCTACTCAAATGTCTATGATTTAGTTGTCCCATGGAATCATTTTAGCTACAGCACAAGGGTGTATGAGGTTAAACACCATCACTGAATCTAAAATAATAGACTTGTGGGAGAAATACATCTTCTGTCACTACTTACAGCTTTAAAATCCAATCAATAAATCTATACAAGGATTCTGTTCTACATTCACAATGTGAAACTCATCTCATCACATGTTCTGCTGCAGTTATATCTGACATATTCTCCGTCTTTATTTCTCCTGCAGGTTTTCTGACATCCTGCAGACACTCGGCCGATCAGTAGCCTTTATAGGAAAGCGTTCTGACATCACCCTGGATCCTTCCAATCAGCTGTGGCACAGCTCTGACAAAGAGGTGAGACGAGAAGTTTTCTGGAACCGTCTACTGCCTCCTGACCTTTAAATAACCTTGGTTTTCTACCCAAAATATGTATTGATCTATTTTTTATTTGTGGTACATATAAAGCAAGTTGTCATAAATGGTTTGCTGGTCTCCATTCAGATGTGAATATCTCCAAGCATTTGGTTTTTGTGAATAATCTTTGCTGGAAATTCTGCCTAATTTGATTACAAACTATAAAGTGACAAAGAGATGAATGAAGTTGTTCTTTTTGTCCAAGAGATGACTTAAATTAAGTTCGGTCTGTCTGTAGCTTATCTTGCGTACTACTGGACCCATCAGCCTAACAATATTTTGTGCACAGTTGTGACTGCGACATCAGCAGTGATTTGGGCATTGTGCCGGTCCGTTGTGGTAAAAAAAAAAGGAGCTGAGCCAGAAGGCAAAGCTCTCGATATAGCAGCCCCTCTGTGTTCCAACCCTCATCTGTGGTCATGAGCTTTGGTTGATGACCCAAAGAATGAGACCGTGGATAGAAGCGGCCAAAACAAGATTTGTCTGCAGGTTGACTGGGCTCAAGTTCAGAGATAGGGTGAGGAGATCAGACATCTAGAGGTAGCTCACGGTAGAGCCGCTGCTCCTTTGCTTCGAAAGGTGCCAGTTAGGGCGCTTCAGGCAAAGGCCAGATTTTTTGGGCCATGACAAACCAACATTTTGCCCTTCGTTGTCGCTCAAAAACTGACATCCATAGAAAAGCTTGGTCCCATTTTGAACCGGAGCATCTGCGGATTAATTCCATACCCGATATGTTATGATCCACTAAAATTAGACACGATGTGAGAAGTATAAATTCCCATTTTTGTTATCTTCGCCACCATATTGACTGTAAGAGAGTTGGAGGGACAGTTGGGTGAGATTCAACTGTTCTTTGTTTGGGAGGTGAGGAAAGGTTTTATTGGACGTTGTGTTTGAGGTTTGTCTCCATAAAGCCTGCCTACTCTGGTTATACCTTGATAATGTAACCTGTATATTGTGTCCTTTTACTTTACTGTCATGCATACATGCTGGACACAAAGCCTATCCTGCACTCCCTGTTCCCCAGACACACCTGTTATATACTATTGGTGAATATATGTGAATTGTAGCCCTTTTCCTCTTTTTCCTCCACTCACTATAAGTCCTGCACCTTTCTTCTGTTTCCTTTACATCCTCCCGTTAACTCCCTCCTTTCCCTCTCTCTACCTCTTTTACTTTATCTCGTTTCCTTCAGGTGCTGGCCTCTTTCAGGAGACAGACCAAGTGTCCGTTCCTCTCAGTGCTCCAGTTCTCTTCCCTCTCTGACCATCTCAAGAAGTGCATCCCTTATCAGGAGCGCCAGCACCAGAGGGTGAGGCATTCATTCAGAACGTCTGATGAATTTGAAGTGTCCGAGTGTTGTTTTAACGTACTGCTAAATCTGTGTGTTTATCCTGCAGGTGTGTGCAAACCTTCGAGATATGTGTGTGGTGTTTGCCGGGCCCTTCCCTGCAGGATTCTCGGAGAGAGAAGTGAGGCGGCTGTTTTGTTGCTGTGGACCGGTTCAGAAAATCAAAATGTTGCAAACCGCAGTCAGGGTATATCTCAACTACATGATCCTTAGTTTACAATTAATATACTGTGTTTGTATTTCTGTCATGGATGAACACATCATCCACTGAATACCTCTTAAGACGTGGTTATAATTACTGCTTCAGTGCATCTTAAAATAGAACTGTAAAAGCTGTTTTCCCTGCTCTTGGATGTGCTCTATTAATCTCACCTATATTTTCTGACAATGTTTGGTCTCCAGGTTCATGCAGAGGTAGAGTTTGAGCTGCTGGAGGGAGCTATGCTGGCTTTAAAAACTTTGAATGGACTTAATGTGCAGGGACAGTCCATCAAGGTAACACTCTTCCCTTTTACTGTCACTTTTTCCCTTTACATTATGGTTAAAGTTATTTCAGAACCTTTGTAGTCGGCTGTATCTCCAACATGTGTCTCTTGTGTGTGCCTTTTCTAGGTCCAGAGACCTGTCTACGAGTCAATGCTAGACTTAGATCTGACTCTTGATGCTTTGACGGCTGACAGTCTGAATGCCAGTCATATCTATGCTGTGAAATTAAAATCCAGTATGGTTGAGGGCATACACACTCCTGTAAGGGTCAATGGACACACATCAGAAGCCAAATGTTTGGACATTACATTGGTTAAATCAGCTAACAGGTTGCCCCCAGCAAAAGTAAACGGTCAACAGTTGCAGCCTGCAACCACCACAAAGTCTAAACTGTCTGAGGAGATGGTCAGAGAGACATTTGGTCACTTTGGTTCGGTGGAGAGAGTCGTCCTGCCTGCCAAACACGGAAAACATGCAAGACATGGATACATAAGTGAGTTAAAAGTTACTATCTCTTGCCTCATATGTCTGGAGTCCGAACAGTTTCTAACATGTGTCTGTGGTTGACAGAGTTTGAGAGCTCAGAGGGCAAACATGCAGCCCTCGGCTCCTCCGAGGATCTTCGTAAGGAAAACTACCTCATCTGTCCATCCCTAACTCCACCCCACTTACCCTCGTGGGCTGCCATGACAACACCAATCACCATGGAAGATCCTGACATGGAAGCAGCAGAAGACGAGGAGAGGACCCACATGCACAACAGGTCTCAGGTAGGACTCCAGCTGGTTGTTGTTATTGATGTCTGCGTGTTTTAAGTCGTGAATTGCAAAACTGATGTCAAACTCATGTGTCTACCTGCTGGAAACTTGCAACATGAAGGAGTCATGGCGGAGAGAAGGAAACGGTTCCAAATTAATAAAGAATCGGCCCAATACGCAGAATCCCTGATGGTACGGGTATCAATAAAAGCTTACCAGTTCTCATTCCTGCACATTCCCAAAGTCACTGTTTTGAAAAAGGAGTCAGTGCCGGTGAAAATGGCTGCTGTCTGTGTTGTGTTCAGACAGTTTAATCTCTTCTGCCCCACTGGTGTTGAGACTCTGAAGAATAATCGGCTCTCCATTTTTCATCCATCTGGAAATGTTTTTTCAGCCACACGGGGGTACTGGTGTAGCTGTAGTTTTATATACTTACTTTTATACGGTTGCTTGAGCATCACAGTTACCTTTCAGCTGGCAGGCTCAGCCGATTCTCAGTAGATATTTTCTAGACAAAAATCTCAGAGAGAGAGCTGAGCTTTTAATATTTAGGCTGGCTTTGTGCGTCTAATTTTGGTCTGTCTCGCTTTCTTAAAGAAAACATTCAAATCTGAATGTTTACACAACCACAGAAAGTGACAATGCTTTTGGGCTGGTTGGAATTCACGCACAATGCAGAGAGTTGTGAAGTGCACCCGAGGCAGAGTAATTGCTGCATTTGTGATCTGATCTTTCAGACCCTTACAGTTTATGATTTAGATAGAGAGAAAGATAGAGAGGAAATTCTTTTCCCCAGCTAGTGGTGTATGCAAAAACACAGAATTAATACACGAGAGACAAAAACGTGGGTTGGTATTAAACACAAGAAAGACTTAAAAGAGCTTGTGTAGCTGTGGGAATAGAGCTCTTGCTGATACGGGCCTTACACATGGGATAGTCTATACCTACATCCAGAAGGACGGGGGATAAAGTACTGGTGGAGTGGATCATCTGGGTCGTGAGTGCTTTGCGGATCAGGAATGGGGTGACACAGTCAGATAGGTGATGGGTAGGAATACCTGAGTTTGCTAGCTCAATGAGTAGTTAGCTTTAGGAGTTCATTCTTGTTGGTGACTGTGAGCATATGGAAAAAACAGATGGCACAGAAGACGAAGATGGGGTTGTACCGACAGGGGGTTCAATTTACAGATGGCTGTAAGTCTTTGCTAACAACATTACTGTCCAGTGTAATGCCAAGGTATCTTAGAGACTCCACCACCTCCACCTTTTCCCCTCTGATGGTGAGACCAGAGCAGGCCAGTGTTTTGGGGGGCTAAAGGACAGTTCTTTAGTTTTTGGGATGTTAAGATGGAGAAAATTATTGTCACACCACAAGCTAAAATGGGATATGTATTTGTTCATAGGCCAAGAAAGAGTCACTGTTATTAAGTAGTGTAAGGATTGCTGTGACATCTGCATATTTAAAGTAGAGGGTAGCGGTGGTGGACGGACTCCGACAGTTATTCGTAGATGGTGTGTAAAGAAATGGACTGTGTACACACCCCTGTGGAGAGCCACTGTTGAGAGTAATGAAGTGTGACCGTGATTTTTCAACCTTTGCTGCTTGAGGTCTGTTGGAGAGGAGGTTATGGATCCAGTGAATAAGGGGTGATTGAACTTCTTAATTACGTGATGACGCTGAATTGTGTTAAAAGTATTTATTAAACAAATGTAATAAAGACTCCAATGTGTGATCTGTGTAGGACCAGGAAATGGATAACATGATGGGGAAGCTGGACCGCCGCCTGCGGAAGCTCTTTAGATCCCTCCCAGAAGGCACCTTGTCTGTGGTCGTGCTGCGTGGACACACCAGGTGAGAACTCTTGCGGAGTTTGAGAAAAATCTGCTGCTTAATTAAATACTAACACCCTTTTTCTCTTCCACAGTGCTCATGGCCAGCTTCCTGGTTTGTGCCTTATGGAGGTCAAGCAAGGGTCATGAGGAGAACAGAGACCCCATCCTCTGTGGGAGTGAGCGCTGCGTAGTTTGACTATTTGACCGCAGTTCACAGGCAGTATTTAACATGACTGACCGCTGTGTGGGAGACTCCTCGGCTCTGATTGGACTCTAGATCAGACCGTTTCATGTAAAACTGTGTGGATGTTGAGTTTCAGCAAATTAAAAAAGATATTTTTATAAAAGTTACCAACTGTAGCTTTAGTGATGGCTCCTTTTTTTTTTAGTGTCCCAGTAAGCATGGTCTATACAAGGATGATGAAATGGGAGCAGCTAAATGGAATTCAGCCATCATGTTTTATTTTTTTAAATGGCTGTGGCATTTGCATAGAAGTATGACTGTACAGACGAATTTGGGTTGGTAGACTTAAATTTTTAGATCATTAGAGTGTAAAATACTAAAGAACAATGCAAGTTTTTAATAGAAGTTTCTGTTCAGTAAGGTCAGTGTTGTCCCATTATTTCTAGCAGAGTTGGAGAGAATACTAAAATATTTCACCTGAATACAAATAATACTTTTTAAATATCAAAATGTATCCAGAATTACTTTGAATACTTTAGTCAATTCAATTTTCTTTCACCATTTCAACAGGACCTCAGTTGTATACTGTCCCAGGGCCCCTTTGTCATCTTTAACAAAATATATAGTCATCAAATTACAGTTTAAATTACCACCAGAAACCTTTAACAGTAGCTGTAAATAAGGGAATTTGAATGTGCAAGTGTAAACATTTCACAGTCCGTAACAATGGTGCTCTGAAGTGACTAAGTGTGAGTTTGAGAACAACAAAGACAAAAAACAGATACTAAGAAACATTCTTTAATTTTTCCCCTTTTCAAGGAAATATTTAAGTATTTTTAAACTTTATCTCATACAAAAATGTATACGTCTTCTTAACGTTTACACCTTTTGCATTAGAACATACTTTGACATTGTTGCAGGTTGACAGTTACAAAACATTTAACACAAAAAAAAGGTAAAGAAAATTAATTCTGTACAAAAAGAAAACAAGCACCTCTTATGAAGGATCAAAATGCCACCAATAATAAACATCACATTATCATTGATAAGCTTATATATGTCTGATAAAATTGGGGAGGTTGACAGAACTTATACATTAGTTTAAAAAATGGGGGGGAAAAAAAACATTTGACTGCATTAAAATACTAAATGACCCAGACGTTGTAAACTACAGGACCTGTCCGGGGCTGTTTTATCTCTCAGGGACTATTAAACAGATTCACAGGGATACAAAGACCGGAGAAAAAGAACATCTCCCTCACATGCACAAACTCGCACACAACTCACACTCTCAAAATATAAGACTGAATGGAGGTGACGGTGTCGTTAAAAATGAAGAATGTTTTCAAAGTGACAACATGGCTGTGGTGGCAGATTCCAGTCTGAACAACACATCAGAGAATAAATGAACATTTCTGGAGTTTAGCTTTTAAGATTCTAGTGAAGTGTGTATGTGTGTGTGTGTTTACCCGAAAGAGTTGCCTGCTCCTCTGATATAAGATCAAAATATGGCAGCTGTCGTTATGGCTTGTGTTCTCTCTTTCAATAGTCCAGTCAAGTAGCTTGGCTGGTAGCTTTGGACACGGTATCCACAGCTGTTGAGTGAACGAATGGATTTAGGGCGTGCACCAAGACCTTACAGGAGAGCGCCCCAAGTGCTTAAGAAGAGACTGAGCGGGACCTCAGTGTGGGACAGTGGCCTCTCCACTCCTCACCTCTTGCTACCAAACTTCTGGGACCTCAAACAGTGACGTTGTAGATTCAGCACCTGTACAGAAGAGGAACAGACATGCAAAGATAAGGACAAGAACGGCACTTTACGGATCTTCATTTGCAGGTTCACGCTGAAATCTAATTGGGTACATTTAAAAGAGGGTTAGGGGGATTTAGGCACATAGCGGTGACAACTGCATACTGCAACACGCTAAAAAATCTCCTGGTTAGATTCTGTTCAGGAGGTTTTTACCAGGAGCCAAATATCTGCAGAGGTCTCTTCTTCTCCAATACAAATGACCCCGGGTCATGCTAAGGTAACAAAAACTTGCTGGCCTCCGTAAAAAAAAAATAAAAAAAAATATAAAGACACTTGTCCTCAGCCTACCCCGTGCTGCTGGCTGAGTAGAAAAGGTACCTGCCATCTGATCTTACAACTCTTGTCAGAGATGCCATCATTGAATGTGTCAATGGTACTATACATGCTGCAGGACAGTATTTATGAAGACGAAATGTCCACAGGTTTTCAACATGTCACAATTATCTGTGCTGTTTATCAATGGATAGAAAAGGGTGTCAAAGTTGTTTCATTCAAGAACCACATTGATGGGACATTAACGTTACTAATCTAAAAAAACAAAAAAAAAACAAAAACAAAACAATGTTTAATGAATACAAGATTAAACCTGTAATAACTGTTTTTGGCAACTTTGGGGCAGCAGAAACTAGATGTAAACACAATGTTGGTATGTCACTTTTTAAGTATGTCACTTTTTTTTTTCATGGCAGTGTAGCCACATATATAAACTTTCTTGATTCCATTTGGGATAAACGCTCTGAGTTTTGACACTGCTGTTTTGGTCATGCTTTAGATGATGCAGACAGGAAGTGAGTTAGTGAGTTTCGCTATCGTCATGCAGATTTTGGCCATTATTTCTCAACAATTTGTGAATCTGTATTTTGTCAAGTCATGCTGCATTTCGCTCCTCCTTCCTGTTTACACTGTAACCGTGGATCTACAGATGATGGTAAATGCATTACGTCTAAAACTGAGGAGCTGCAGTTATAAGGAGCGTCTTCTCCATTCAAACTGTGTCAACCTGATTCAAAGTGCCATCAAACCCTCGCACTGACAACACACCTTCAGACTTCTTTTTCTTGTTCTTTTGACCTTTCCTCCCATGGGCTGTCGGAGCTTGTTGCCAGGTGACCGTCCCCTCAGCATCACTGCCTTCAGGAGTTTGCCTCTCATCATCATCAGGGATTGGACTTGACCCTGATGAATCTGATGGCTCTCTGCAGGGCACAGCAGCCGTTAAGAGACTTGTATCACAGCAAACAGAACAGCAACAGCGTAAATGTTCATCTCTGTTTTACTTACGCCGTCTTGAGCCATCCTTCTGAGGTCTTGCTCTCAATAGCTTCGGCATTTGCCTGCCCACTTTTGTCTGGGAAACACAATGACAACCAGTATATGAGAGCCTGAATTAGACATCCTTATACAGTTTATACACTTTTATTTATTTAGCAGGGACACACTTAAATGTGTAACACCAAGCATCACAAGGCTGAAGCTGGCAAAGTCATCCATGTGGGAAGAAAATGACAAATCATTATGGATAATTGACAAATGTTGAGACTACAAAAGGCACAACTGAAAAAAAAAAAATCATATTGCTCATTACAACATCAGAGTAAAACCAAAAATGAATCCACCAAATGTACTGCATGAATCATGGAAATCCGGTAACAATTAGTGTTATTTTATGTTGCAAAATTCTTGCCAAAGAGCAAAAGACGTCCTTCGTTAACTAATATGAAATGCAAAACTATCCCTAAGAAATATATTGGGAGAATGTTGTCGATCAAAAATGCGCCTGACTTGTTCATTCTGCAGCAGGTGGCCAATGATAAGATGTGTCTGATAAATAAATCTGATGGTAAACAAATTACCCAGCCTTTATTATTCACAATACCACCTGCCCTCTCTCCCTCAGGGCACACTCAATCTCCGCTAAGTACTTTTCTTAGGAAAAACCTGCTTCATGTTACCACACTGCAGCAGGAAAGTAGCTGTGCACACATGCGTTCACAAACCATCAGTTTTCATCTTCTTGCTGCCTGTGCTATCCGGGTATGAGTAGTGACTCCAGCCGTCTGTAACTGGAGTGTCTCCGAGCCCCTGCTCTCCCTGAACGGGGCTGATGCTGCGTTTCCTCAAACCCCTGGAACAAAAAATAAACCATACATGCATCAATATAAATAGAGACTGTGCATATCTGCAGATACTCCCATACTGAGAGGTAAATACATTGAAGATGCAGTGTATATCAGTGCAGGTGTACCTGGGGTATCCAAAACCAGCAGAAGTAGCAGAGGTGTAGTGAGGTTTCACCCAGCCGTCCTCTCCCCAAGATCTGGGTGTCTGGCCGAGCTTCTCCTTGTCCTGCTGCTTACCCTGGATGTACTCTGCATACGTCTGGATCCTGTAACTCTCTGCATAGCGGCTGGTGTTCATAGCTGCGTGATGAGATGAAGATGTTAGCGGGTAAGCAGGCTGCATCAACCTTTTCTGTCCTGTCGTGTGTGTTTGTATTCAGCTAGGATTTGACACTCACCTATCTGCACCTGGTCTGTCTGACTCAGGGACACAAATGCTGATGTGTCATCTATCCATGAAACCTGGATGTTTCCTGTGAGGATAGTAGAGGTAGAGATTAAGTAATAAAATATGGGTCATGCTTGTGTGCAGGCAGAATTATCAGGCAAAATCATGTCTTACCAAAGGCACTGAAGAGCTGGTAGAGGTCACTAGTCTTCCACTCTTTTGGGAAGGTGACGTACAGGACATGGTCTCTTTTAGGCTGCACTGTGGGAATACAGGGAAAAACAGCTATGTGTAAGGGGGTGGGGGGGTGTTAGATTTAATTCAAAGCTGTATAGAGCACAATGTGGCAGCAGGGATATGTATCCTGTGTACACAATACAAACAAGACAAGGAACTTCTTGTGAAACACTGCACCACAGTGCTACTAACATTCAAAAACTCCATAGGGTTCCTTTAAAAATGTGGCATGTAGTCAGTGCATAAATCCTGACATATATTCCTGCTGTGCAACAATGTCTTACTCACAGTCTGGTCCTGTGATGTTGAGGTAGGGAATGTCTATTATCCTCATCAGGAAAAGCCTTGAACAAAAAGTATTACATGTATGCTTTAAAAATATTTTTAGCAGTTTATTAAAGACAGGAGCAAATACAGTGAGTTTAAGTGCATCTCTTACTTGTTGAAGAAAGGCTCAATTAGTTTGGAGCGAGCAGAGATGTAAGCTTTTG